TAGCCTACTAATCAGCTCTAAACCTAAACTAAACTATAACTCATTTGAAAGCCTTGTTCTTGGTCTTTCGCACCCAAGTTGGAAATCACTGCAACCAATTCTTTTCGTTATAGTGTACCGAGCACCTGGTCCGTATTCTGAATTCGTATCTGAATTTGTAGAGTTTTTGTCAACTTTAGTCCTTAAAACGGACATTATTATTGTAGGGGATTTTAATATTCATGTGGACGTTGAGAATGACAGCTTTAGTACTGCATTTATCTCTCTGTTAGATTCCATTGGCTTCTCTCAGCTGACTCACTGTTTTAACCACACCCTCGACCTTGTTTTGGTGTATGGTATTGAAATTGAACATTTAGTGGTGTTCCAACAGAATCCCTCTTTATCCAACCACTGTTTGATAACTTTTGAGTTTGTATTGCTGATCTACACGCCATTGGGCAAAAATTTCTATACAAGATGTCTGTCTGATAGTGCTGTAGCTAAATTTAAGGATGCGATTCCATCAGCTCTAAATTCATTATCAAGTCACAAAGTAACGGAGGACTCCTATGCTAGTTTCAGTCCCTCCCAAATCGATCATCTTGTTGATAGTGTTGCAGGCTCGCTGCGAATGACACTCGACTCTGTAGCCCCTCTAAAAAAGAAAATAATAAAACAAAGACGGTTAGCTCCATGGTATAATACTGAAACTCACAAATGAAAGCAAATATCGCGGAAACTTGAGAGGAATTGGCGTTCCACCAAACCGGAAAATTCTTGTTTCATTTGGCAAGATAGTCTTAAAACTTATAGGAAGGCCCTCCGTAATGCCAGAGCAGCGTACTACTCGTCATTAATAGAGGAAAATAGGAACAACCCCAGGTTTCTTTTCAGCACTGTAGCCAGGCTGACAGAGAGTCACAGCTCTATTGAGCCAAGTATTCCCATAGCTCTCAGTAGTTACGACTTCTTGAGCTTCTTTAATGATAAAATTCTAACTATTAGGAACAAAATTCACAATTCTCAACTGGCACCAACTTATCTCTAAACTCAGGAACCTTAGAAACAGCTGTAGAACAAGATATATGTTTAGACTGTTTTGCTTCACTCAATCTTCACTAACTAACTTCAATAATTTCTTCATCTAAACCATCAACCTGCCTCTTAGACCCCATCCCAACTAGGCTGCTTAAAGATGTTTTACCCTTAGTCAGCACTTCTATACTAGATATGATCAATCTATCGTTATCAACAGGCTATGTACCACAGTACTTTAAAGTACAGGTTTTATTAGATCTTAGTGCTGCATTTGATACCACTGACCATCAGATCCTATTGCAGAGACTGGAACATTTCATTGGCATTAAAGGAACAGCTCTAAGATGGTTTAAGTCCTATTTATCAGATCGATTTCAGTTTGTACATGTTAACGATGAGTCCTCCATGCACGCCAAATTTAGTCATGGAGTTCCTCAAGGATCTGTCCTCGGACCAATCCTGTTCACTTTATATATGCTTCCTTTAGGCAATATTATCAGGAAACATTCCATAAGCTTTCATTGTTATATAGATGATACTCAGTTAGTTAAAACTAGTCCATGCATTTGTTACTTCTAGGCTGGATTACTGCAATTCCTTATTATCAGGCTGCTCGAAAAAGTCCATTAAGACTCTTCAGCTGATCCAGAATGCTGCAGCACGTGTTCTGACAGGAACCAGGAAAAGAGATCACATTTCTCCTGTTTTAGCTTCTCTGCATTGGCTTCTAATAAAATCCAGAATAGAATTTAAAATCATTCTTCTTACCTACAAAGCTCTTAATGGTCAGGCACCATCTTTTCTTAAAGAGCTCATAGTACCTTACTACCCCACCAGAGCACTGCGCTCCCAGAATTCAGGGTTACTTGTGGTTCCTAGAGTCTCCAAAAGTAGACTAGGAGCCAGAGCGTTCAGCTATCAAGCTCCTCTCCTGTGGAACCAGGTTCCAGTTTGGGTTCAGGAGGCAGACACCATCTCCACATTTAAGAGTAGGCTTAAGACTTTCCTCTTTGATAAAGCTTATAGTTAGGGCTGGCTCAGGTGAGTCCTGAACCATCCTTTAGTTATGCTGCTATGGGCCTAGACTGCCGGGGGATTTCCCATGATGCACTGAGCTCCTCTCTCCTCTACTTTCTCTCCCTCTGTATGCAACCTCATCCCATTATTGCATGTTACTAACACAACTTCTCCCCTTTCTGGTAGTCTTGTGTTTTCTCGTCCCTCTCCTCTCTCCTCCTATCACTTCCTGCAGGTGTTTCTGGCTCTGGAGCTGTGGAGTCTGGATCTGTGGTTACATGTCACCTGCTGCCCCCGTGTTCCTGCTGGACACCCTCTGCTACAATTATTGTTACTAGTCCTATTATTATTATTGTTATTATAATAATCAACACTACGACTGTTATCATTAACACTACTATAAATATTTACGATTTTTCCATTTAGTCTATAGCAACATCACCTTTACTGTCTGTACCTCTGTGTGTGTATATTGTGTAGGCTGCCTCCCTCCCCTCTCTCTCTCCTTACATCCCTCTCTTTCTTTCTCTCTCTCTTTCTCTCTCTCTCTCTCTTTCTCTCTCTCTGTTTCTCTCTCTCTCTCTCTCCCTCTCTCTCCTTCACCCCAACTGGTCGAGGCAGATGGCCGCCCACCCTGAGCCATGGTTCTGCTCGAGGTTTCTGCCTCTTAATAGGAAGTTTTTCCTTGCCTCTGTCGCCTAGTGCTGCTCTTGGTGGGAACTGTTGGGCTTCTGTAAATAGCATCATAGAGTACGGTCTAGACCTGCTCTTTTATGAAAAGCGCTGTGAGATAACTGTTGCTGTGATTTGGCGCTATATAAATAAAATTGAATTGAATTGAATTGAATTGAACTTACATACACAGGAAAAGCATTTAACGTGTTATACACACATTAGCACTGAATACATTTTCAGATAACTTAACACCACAAAACGAGACCATTAGCATTTCTATTGTACTGTCGGTTACTCATTAGCAACAGGTCCGCTAGCCTAGCATGTCAGTTTATAGCTAAACATCACTATTTCACACATTACGGCAAAACTACTCAACTCTAAACATTGCATGTTCTCACGGAGGATTCAAAACACTTATCCCTTATACTGGGGTACATGCATGCAATTTTGAGGATTTGATTTGATTAACCCACCTGTATGCAGAAACAATGAGGCAGAAACTTTAGCTTGCGTTCAGCTCGACTGCAGTATTTATTCTGTAGCACTTGCTTCCTAACGGTTTTAAGTTCCTCCCAAGCACCACCTAGTGACCTCTTTAAGTATCACCCCTCCACAGTAAAGTGCTGTATTCTGCAGCACTTTACTGTATTGAGCTACCTTTTGAGTTTGCTGGCGTGTTGTCTCAACCGCATCCTAAACTGGGCGCTTCCTCTTTTGGGAAGTTGTTTTTTGTTGTACCTTTCTGAGAATCCTTTGTAATTGTAAATAAATGCCAAACTATACCGATAAATCTGTCTCCTTGTTTCTGTCTCCTGTCTCCTTGTTTCCTTCAACCTGGAATGGTTTTATTATTGTCACTAACCTCCTCCTCCCCTGGACTTTCCACTGGAGGTAGGAGCACAACATGGAAGGTCCTGTCAGGCATCATAGTGTAAAGGGTTAAAACATGTGTTTGCAGTTAGTCATAGGAGATGTTAAAAAGTAATTGAATTAGTACAGTTCATTATACTACCATTTATTGCTAAAAATAAACAATGGGTTAAAAAAAAAGACACCCGTAATTTTTTTCATGATGTTGTGTATTAAATAGTTACTAAAAGGCCAATTTCATTGTATTGTACTTGTTAAGCTTGATTTATGCTCCTGCGTACGTAGCCATGCATTTATACTTGTGCGTCCGTGTGTCCGTCACTCTGCAATTACACCCCCAAACGCTAGTCGGCAGTAGTGCTACAGCGTCCACTAGTGTTGACTTTTGCCGGCCGAGCAGGCTAACTTCCGGTTTAGTCCTCCACTAAAGTCAATGGGGGTAAAATTGTATACGTACGGCTGGTGTAGACTTTTCAAATGTTCTTAGAAATTAGTCTATTTGTATAATATTATAACATTAAATAAAAAATACAATGTTCATCTAATAGTATACTGATATAAAAATGTGAAGGATTTCTTTGTTTAACAAAATCGTGGAGATTCAGCAGCATTTTAACAATAACCTCAGGGAGGTTGGAGCGGACATATTCCGCTCATTGTCAACTGGCATTATTCCTTCTTGTTTTACATTTTACCCACTTTTAAAAAAGCCCTCTTTAGATGCTTCTGTTTTAAGTAATTTTAGACCCATTTCCAAGCTGCCATTTTTATCTATTAGAAAATTTTAGAAAAAATCGTTTCAACTCAGTTAATCTCCTTTTTGAACAATAATGAAATTTTTGAAAAATGTTTATCAGGTTTCCGCTCCTTACACAGCACTGAGACTGCTCTGATCAAGATCACCAATGATTTGCTGCTTGCAGCTGATTCAGACGTGCTCTGTTTGAAATCTTCTCAACCTCAGCTCAGCTTTTGACACTGAACCATGATTTATAAACATAGGGGGTCCTGGTAAGGAGGCCTGATAAGTGTGGAAGACTAGATTTATCAATGCAAAGGGGCCTTGCGAGAAGGCTGCAGCTCTGAAGGTCGACATGTGATACAGTACTCAGTACACAAACCTGTGTGTTCATGTTGATGTTAACTCTCTTTTGTCTTATGCACATACACACTAATATCAAGATGATGTCTTATTTCTGGTGTCACATTTCAGTCTTATTTCTTTATAGGTGTTTTATGTCTTTATAAGTCTTTTAGGGGTAGAATACACTTATTGTTTTAATATTGACTATGTGTGGATGTGGAGGTGGAAAAGGTGGGTCTTACTATAAGACCCACAAGAGGAGGAGCAAGACAGGACATATTAACCAATGGAATAAAGAGTTTGGGAAGTCTGCTCCATGGACCAGCTCAGATACACATGTATTTTTTGTATTTGTTTATTTGCTTGAAATTATCACTAAACTTGAGTTAATTTTAACTTTACTGGAATCTGTGTCTCATTGAAAAGAATACCATTTATATTAGTACAAGAGTTCATCTGAGTCTAAGTTACAGTTACATCCAAGAGAATGAAGTGTGAGATCGAAGGCCCATTCGACCTCTGAGGGTTTTTATCTCCCACATTTATTTTGCGAGCCCGAGCCCAGGGGGCGGCATAGTGGGTCTGGAGACCTGGACAACACGGCTGTAGCACAGAGCAAACGGTGGCCACAAAATATAAAGGTAAGCAGAGCCATGTACTAAAGTCTGCAAATACTGGTTGGATCTGAGCTCCGTGTGTGTTCACCCAGATCACAGGTAATACAGGACCTCTCCTCAAAAGAATATAGAAATTATGATGTTCTGTACATACTGTATGTCTTGCATGTCTTGTTAAATGTTCTGGTGCATGTTTGCATATGATCATTTTGAGTAAATGAATGAGCTGGTAAAAGACGTCTATGATACTGCGTTTCTGTGTTGAGGAACGGCCTGAATGGATGGATCATCCTAAACAAAAAGGCTGCTTGGATAGGGGAATAAATCTTTATCTATGGATACCACTCCTACTCTATCTATTCCATCTACTTTGACAGAGGAGGGCTGCACAGATAGATAGTGAGATAAGACAGTTATCAATGGATACCACTGCTACTTTATCTATACCATCTACTAAAACAGGAGGGCTGCACGGATAGATGATTATATAACTGGTCAGAGGAGTGATTGTGTGTGTAAATGTAACTGTTAACCAAAATGTAATACATTGTACTGTATATTTCTAGTAACTGTCATTTTAGAGTAATTAGTTATATTACAATATTACTGTCTCTGAATTGTAATGCTTTACACTACTTTTGTGTTACTTTTGAGTTACTTTAATTGCTATTTAATGGGCGCATTATTCTAGTAAGATCTGCCTGCATATATGGATTCTAGTGATGTGCTGTTCTGATCTGCGGATGTCAATGTCTTTAATTCACCAAAGCAGATTGGGAAGTGTCAGAAATATTCAACTGACTGACAGCAGCCTCTCTAATCATCAAAGCAAACCGTTAAAGAATGGTAGGCTATATCAATATAACACACAAGAAATAATTCGCCTGGAAAGCTGCAGGGACTGGTAGAGGTGGGGTAAAATGCCCATGAAGGTGCTGGTCTAAATTTGATAAAATAATTAGTTGGTGTGGGGCGGGTAGATGATTTAGGCCATGCATATAGGCCTATATGAGTTCCGTTATTAATGTCCAAGCTGATCCGCGCATCACACCAATTCAGCTGCTATAATTGTGACAAAACAGTGCACTCAGCTGCTGAAGTAAAATTATTAGGCTGTAACATCAACCAGAGCATTCAGATCTGCTCTGTTTCATGTTATAATAATAGTGCCCATGCAGTCTGCACATGTCATTCCAACTGTAGAGACCTGTGATGACAGTTTTAATTGGGGCAATAAGAGATAAATGTTACTGTCATTTTGTAAAGAGACTGATGATGAAACACTCATCTCATCAAACTGAGGGCTGAAATGAACTCCTGTTTACAGTCAAAAGGCACACCCAAAAAAAGTAGTAGCTTACTGTGTAGACTGGTGAATGATTAGGCTGCTGTAATCTGACGGTTTTCAACAGATGCTATAATGTTTATTGGAACCTTGAGATGTTTCTACGTGTTAGAATGTTGACAGACATGTTTCTGGATTGTGAAGAAATGATCTGTAGCCTTTAGTGCCAAAAGCTGCTCTGCTGCTCTGACAGAGATCACAGCTCAAACAGTGGACAGATGATGCAGCTGTGCAACATGCCATATTTAATTGACTTTGCTTTAAAATGACGGCTGCAAGGAAAGGACATATCGTTAAATGCCTGTTTCCTTGACTCCTCGCTCCTCGCATTTCCTCCTCGACAATCGAGGAGTCGAGAAGGCAGAAATTTGGGAAATGAGAAAGGCCCCAGGACATGGTACAAGGCTTAACACAATTTCATAGGCTACTGGGATCTGATCCAGTAGAAGTGACGTAATGAGAACACTTTTGGGATAGATAAATTGAGGATAGGTGTCTGAGTATCCGCTGTCATTAAAGAAAGAGTTCAAACGATTACTTACTTAAACAAACCCTGAACCCAGAGACTATTGACATTCCTCCTGATAAGTAACTCAGTTCCTTTCATCCTGTAATATACAGGTTTTTAAATGATGATTCAGTTATTTCAGTTACCTAGTAGAGTTGTGTACCATTGGATCATAGTTTAAGACATTGAAAATAGAACATTTCATCACTGAAAAATATTTAATTGATCAAATAAGAGGAGTTAGGGTTATAGCTATGATGTGGTTAAGTAAATTCCATTTTTTTATAACAGCAAAAATCCTTTTGTCCAATCTGTAGTCATATTTTCAAAACTCTAAACACAGTCCATTTTTCTTAGATCACACATTAATAATTTGCATTCATTCAAATTATGGTTTTCAGTCAAGTCACTGATTTCTATTTGTGGATCATGGAAAGGTTTGTGTATTGTGAATTTATTTGTAGATCGTGTTTATTTTTATGGATCATGAAGAGGTAGTTTGAGGATTTTAGATTCACTTTGTGGATAATTTTTTGTGTTTACAAATTGTGATATATATTTGTGACTCAGTATGTGCATTTACAATGATACTGACTTTGATTTACTCCCATAGTTGAAGGTTAAAGATGCATAGCAAATTAGCAGACAAGCAGTCATAAACGTTTTTATAGAAGCTAGTATGCAATGGTTCAAGGTCACATGCTGAAAATCTCATTGTATCCTCTTTTTTTCTTCCATTCATCTTGTTAGCCAGTGGGAAAGTTTCCCAAAAGTGTCTTATCTTTGTTTCTTTATTTTACAGTGGAGTGGGAACATAGTGTGAAATCAGATTAGACTGTTATCTGCAATCAAATCACCCAAGATAATGGCCATGACAAACCTTCACACACCCATTCACTCACCAGGAGCAGTTTACTGTGACCTGAATGAATAACAAGTCAGATGGTGAAAAAAAGATAAAAGCTGATGGTACAGATAAAAACAGATAAGATCCCCTCTAAAGAGCTACCATAAGTATTTAACTGCCTCCTTCCTCACACTATGGTACTGATTTACACGTACACAAAGAATGACACTATGCACACACCTTAACACTTTTTGAGACATGACCAGAAATGAGAATCATTGCATGAAGCTTTTAAAGGCGTAGCTTATGTATGATTTTAAAATCATGCTCAGGAGGTAGCGCGGTCATCCATTGATCACAGGGCTGGCGGTTCCTGATGGTTGGCCAGCACCCAGGGTGGCAGCTCGCTGCTATAGGTGTGTGAGTGTGTGCATGAATGAGCAGCAAAAACTTTGCAAAGCACTTTCGATAAAAGGATGAAAACTACTTTGGAAGCCAATTATGGATCAACTGGGTAATTCAACTGTTCATCATACACAAAATATTCTGAGCAGAGTATTTTTAAATATGATTTGGGGCTTTTGCCTTTAATTGGATAGTGCAGCTAAAGAAAGACATAAAATGTGGGAGAGGGAGGGGGTGACATGCAGCAAAGGGCTACTAGTCGGACTAAAACCTAGACCGCTGCGACAAGTTTCTCGGCCATATAACATGGGATGCAAACTCTTCCTACTGAGCGAGAGCCTGATTTATACTTTTGCGTTGAATCTACGCCGTAGCCCACCCAGTAGCCTGACGTGCACCTCCCAAAAAACTACATATCGCGGTGACGAGGACCGCATGAACTGTGATTGGTTGGCTTGGTAGCATCGCATTTACTCCAAGGCCACAGGAAACGCTCTGTACTTTGAAGTCAGTTTTACTAGCAGCCAAACCAGCAGCTGTAAAACGGTGGATACATGTTTTGATTTTGATTTGAAATGACTTGTTTCCCGGTCAGAATGTGATCCAGTTGGTTCAATAACATTTAAAAAGTACAGTGTAATTACAGAGCGACACAGAAACCAACGCACATTTTCGCATTCACAAGGTTTCCCTGCTCTATTCACAATGAACTTGACAATGAATTTGCAACATAGGCTTCTTCATGTATTGGATTAACTGATGTGTTATTGTGGCTCAATGAGCATCACCAGTTTTTCTTTTCTGCCCTTTCTAAACACTATCTTGTACTGAACATGTTGTTTTGCTTGCTGAATCAATCTTGGTAACCTTGATATTTGTAGCATTAAAGCACTCATGTTCCTTTAAATGAATCTGAATGAGCAGATATTTTGACTTGTTAAGGTTTGCAGCAATTGAAAAGGTTATTTTTTTAGAAGCGTTTGACATGTCCATCACAAACTACAGGTTTGACTTAACTGAACTATAACTTAGCTGGCATAGTATTAACAAAAACATTTGATGTGTCATAAAGGTTGTATATATTGCAGGGTATAATCTTGGACTGCAATCAATTGTACTGATTATATTGTTGCTTTTATAATGTCTACTCCATGTTATTGCATACATCTAAGTCTTAAAATGTATCCACAAAATGCGACTGATGGGTGGAGTATTTTGTAATGGTTTTCAATGCTCAAATTGCATACAAACCATTATTTCATATATGCAGCTACATAGTGGCTTGAGCAGTGTTTATTTTTTAATAATTATATAACATGTAGTTGGTGTTCTAAAGTTGTCCTTTAATCATTATTGTTAAGCATTTGGTATTTTATGGTTGTCCTTTAACGTTATGGTTAAGCATTACCCCTTCCAGATAGAGGCAGACACAAACTCTTCGGTAGGACCCTGGGAAGGTAAGAACAACTCATTTTTGGGGGAATTTATTACAGAAAGAAATTTAAGAAAAACAGAATAATTCAGATTATTACAGAATTGAGTACAGTTTTTCCAGTCCAACAGACATTTGCAAGCTAGATTTTTGCAGTTCCTTGTAACTCTTGTGAGGTTCTTGACTTCAGGTAAGTGGGACAAAATAAAAAAATTCACTCCCACTTGGACGTTTTTGGTTTTTAACTGACAAAAAAATCCTAATTACATCCAAATTAATTTAATGTTGTAAAACAATAAACATAAAGATACTTAAATGTTACAATGAAAAGAAATCTCTAGCAACTGATCTAAATTGAATGTAAATATAAAATACAAACTCATTGACAATGTAATTGTTACTTTCTTCTTCCTCAAACTAATGAAATTAACAGCAATTTAAGTCTTCACTCAGACTTACCCGTTCCAATACTTGGATTAAAAAAAAAGTAAATGAGCAGCGATGGGTAAATCATTTGGGCAACAGTTGCTCTATGTAGTGTCTTCAATCTCAACCCTTGAACCCTGTAACTCAGCCAGTGTCTTCTCATACAGGTACATTTATTTATTTATTTTTTTACATATTTACAGCTGTGCCCTGATTGACCTGTCTGTTTTGCTACTTTAATAGAACCATGGGCACAAGGTTTTGGAATGTTCCTTTTACTTATATCTTTGCTAGGAAAATGACTAACCAGCTGTTGTGTCAGAGATGACAATAATTTATTTTGTGTTTCTTATTTATCTAAATGCAGAGACTTCTGTTCTATTGAACAATCATTCCACTGTGATTTAATATTTAAAGAATTACGGAAAAGAAGTCAAGGGAGGTCATTTTATTGCCACTGTGCAAAGAATACCTTGTGCGTGCAGGGTGTGCCCTGTCTAAGAGCACCAAGCATCTTCCCACGTTACTGTAGGATGATAATGCTGCATAGCAAAGCTGTCTAATAAAGTTTTAAGAGGCCAAAGGGCAATGAAAGTTGGAGCCACGGTGCAATCACATTTCACTTTTCAGAATCATTCTCTTTTTATATGCATGTTCTTCTGAACACTGACGCCATAAAACATCAAGTATGGGTTAATTTTTTATTTTTTATTCCCTCCCAACTTTTTTTGGCTGTAGCAGGGTCGGCATAAAGAGCAGTGAGCTGGACAGTTCTTCCCACTTTTGCCATCATCTTCTTGGATGTCGGAGAAACTGGAGTAGTCTTGTGGAATCTAAGAATTACAAGCTCTGAGGAAACTCTCCTCCAGTCTCCTTTCAAATTAGGCGCCACTGACGGATCATTCTCTTCTCCCAATACATTGTCCACAATGACCATATTCAAGGCAATAACTGCAGTGCCTAATGCCTGCGACACTGTTGCCACAATCTGTTCAGGCTCAAACTGCCTTGTTCCTCCCGGTGACTTTAATGCAATACTGGGCCTGGTGTTGAGTACAGTGCTCACCGTAATGCTTGCCATGGTCATGTTTTCTATGGGTTGCACTGTGGATGCCGAAAAGCTGTGGGGCCATATCAAGAAACCCTGGGGCATCATCATCGGCTTCCTCTGCCAGTTTGGCATCATGCCTTTCACAGCCTTTGCCTTGTCACTGGCCTTCGGCGTGCTGCCTGTGCAGGCCGTTGTCATCATCATTATGGGCTGCTGTCCTGGAGGTTCCGGCTCCAACATTATCTGCTACTGGCTGGATGGAGACATGGACCTAAGGTAAGAAACCAGCTGGGCCGACTCACTCATTGGATAATCTAATATTAGTTAATGGCGTCTTGTTGAATGCTATCAAACTATTTGACAAACCTATCCACCGGACACACTGGATGGTCGGGACCCTCTTTTTGTGTCCCCAGGGCCCCTTTTTGTGTTCTCATAAGGTAGCTTGTCCAGTATGTGTTAATGATTGCCCCCATGAGCAAATCCTCAAGTGGGATATCTGTTGATTTGGAAGCTGACTCAGCCACAGTTGCAGTTTGCAACTATCACAGTCCACCTCCTTATTTTGAGGACATGTGCTGCTTGAAAAATAAAATGTCATTGGAGAAGATTGTTGACTGAAATACTGTCCATATTCTACCCTCATCAGTATCAGTATGACAGCCTGTTCCTCTATCCTGGCCTTGGGAATGATGCCTCTTTGTCTGCTCATTTACACCTCCATCTGGACTTCCAACAGCACAATTCAGATCCCATATGACAGTATAGGTATGTACAATGTGATTATAGATGGTTTATTTTAAGGGCTTCCACACCTGTTTTATTATTGTGCTGTATAATCACATCAGTTCAGTTTTATTATAGTCTTAAAATCATCTGATATGAAATCTGTGTATCTTCAGGTATCACTCTAGTGGCCCTTCTTATCCCAATTGCTGTGGGAATATATGTTAAACACAAGTGGCCTCTCGTAGCAAAAAAGATCCTCAAGGTAGGAATACTTTGAATGTTTTATGCAAAGGGCGCTTCTAAGCCTTAGTCAGATCATTTCTGTGAATCTGATATTTGATAAACGGATTTGTTGTGACATTTACAAATTTGGCATGGCTTTATTCAATGAACATTCCTGGCGTGGAATTTAATAATGTGTCTGCTGTGCACAGGTAGGGTCCATTGCAGGATTTGCTCTCATTCTCATCATAGCTGTGGTTGGAGGAATTCTTTACCAGTCCTCCTGGAACATTGCTCCCTCCCTTTGGATCATTGGAACTATCTACCCCTTTGTTGGTTTCAGCCTGGGGTTCTTCCTGGCCCGCTTTGCAGGTCAACCCTGGTTCAGGTAGGGTGACAGCATTGCAGTGATTTTGGAATATAACCACATTGTTACATAAACCTGCATCTTGATTTCCTTAACTTGCTTTAATTTGTTTGATACATATATACATTTACTTACTAATGAGGTTGTTTATAATTACCTGTTCTGTTCAGGTGTCGAACCATTGCATTGGAAACAGGTTTCCAGAACTCCCAGCTGTGCAGCACCATTGTCCAGCTGTCTTTCAGCCCTGCTGAGCTGGAGGTCATGTTTGCGTTCCCCCTAATCTACAGCATCTTCCAGCTAGTGGTGGCAGTCATATGTGTGGGAGGTGAGAATTTAGCAGGCCGCTACATATGCAGTTACATGTCAATTTTGTCTTCATTTTCTCAATCAGTAGTAGCATTTTTGTGAAAACTGGATGTTGGTCTGTCACCTACCAACAAAAAATGCAGGTGAACACATGTCTAAAGACTGTTTCATCTTTTCATAAGGTTACTAATCCAGTTAAACAACATGAGAGCAACAACATTGTTCTAATGCCGAATGACAGAAATAGTTGTGTCAAGGATGAAAAAAGTGAGCTAGAGAGAGACGTTCAGACGTTGGCTCCTTGCCAACCTCAACGTGAAGTGGGTGTGGATGTTAGATCTTCAGTTACAGTTACATAAATGATCAAACACTGCGGCGGCTGAGGATTGGAGGTAGAGTGGGTCACTACCACTAATTAGAAGCTTGGAGGTTTGATCCCCGGCTTGGGCAAAATACTGAACCCCGAACTGTAAGTGTGTGTGAGATTGATGAGCATGGTAGCCTCTGCCATCAGTGTGTGAATGGGTGTTGTGTAGTGTGACATGAAGTGTAAAACGCTTTGAGTCGTTAGAAGACTAGAAAGGCTCTTGTCAGCCATTTCCTACTGTCCTGTTGTTGAGTGCTCAGTTCTGGCACATTTAATGAATATTTACAGCATCCCGTTGTGAAAAGACTGTGCCCTTGCCTTTTCACTTAGCACTGTTGTTTCCCATCATTAACAGTGCCTTCATCTTTAAGAAGTTATCACTCACAGTTAACAAGTAACAGTAACTCAAGCATGTACGTGTGAAAAAAGGAGTATTTGCGGATGGTTGGAAATGTTTCCTTTGTTCAACTCTCAAATCTGATTGGTCTTTGACACACAAAATTGTGACGCTCCAATATCCACCCAATCTGAGAGAGAGAGAGAGGGTGGGATTTGCCTGAAATATTGATTCTTTGAATCTGTGTTTATATTACTACAAGGACAAATTATACACACAGCAGAGACGGAGGAATGCTGTTTGGCTGCAGTGAGTTCAAGGACAACGTTAATGACAATAAAAGTATGTGATAAGAAGCTGTATAATTTATCATTCGTGGAATGACCATGGCTGCTAGCTTATGCTTGCAAACCTGCCCATGCTATTTCCTGCACCTCCTGTTTTTCACCACAGCATGCAAATAAATGCGGCTGGATGAATTTAAAACCAGAAGTGAATTCATCTGGTCCACTTCCTCATTGAAATAAACGTTTGGTCTTCCTCCACCTTGATACAGTAAAGATAAGCAGGTGGCAGTATAACTTCAATGAAAATAACCTTTTTTGCGTGGACCAATGCCTTCAGTTGTTGCATTGTTCATCATCCCTTTAAAGATTTTCCAGTTTCTATTTTTCCCCAACAAAACAAATAACTGGAAGAACTTGACAAGCCAGGGATGACAAAAAAAAACTTGCATTCACTGAAGCCCAGTTCATTTCAACGCTCTTTAAAACGACATGTCAAAGTGATTAAACAGTGTTTCTGAATCCCTTCCTGTTCCTCTACAGGATACCAGGCATATAAAAAGTCATGTCGCCGTAGTTCAGAAGATGCAAACAGTGAAGCTCCATCCCTGGAAGCTGGCGACGGTGAACCATCAAAAGGGAAGGACTATGCTGTGGAAAATAGTGCCTTTGAGTTGGATGAGAATGGCAACAGCGAAGAGAAGGGTGGGGATATTAACAGGAACACCCAGTTCTGAAATTACAGACCTGCACACAGACTCCCGACTATCAGTATTAACATTCAGGGCCACAGCTCTACAGAAAACAGCAGGCTAACTTAACTGAACACACAGTGCACTCTGCAGGCCAAAGGTGTGCACTACAGACACTGTTCTTATCAGTTTTGGACAGTTTAGCAAAAACACCAATGCCCAAATGTCTTTCCTGGTATGTCTAAAATTAACTTCAAGGAGGGCAGTGACTAACGTAACATAATACATTGCATTGTATAATGTTGTATTGTATTATATTAAGATATGAGGCCCTCCTTTTCCTTAATTTATTAATATATAGTTATTTAAAACAACTTTGCTCTGTACGTTCTGTCAGAATGCCTGTTGTGCATGATCAACACATTTACTTGTATCTATTTATATGTCTTATCAATAATTCAAACAAAATATTTAATGCTGTTTATGTGGATTACTCAGATATCCATATACATATATTTACTGTAGTTTGTGCTGAATGGTGTAATATAAAACTGAACTGAGAACTGAGATTTATTTTGTCACAATATAAACGGTGATAGAGTGAAATTAAGTTTGTTTAGAATGCTCTCGTGACAATCATAATGTAGCTGATAAGAAACAGACGTGACGAAGTGTCACATGGGGACAGCCAGTGTTTCACAGTTTTCATACCCACTGTATAATATATATAATGATATAATATAAATGTTGAAAAAAATAAAAGGTTTATTTATTTTTTATCCTTATTGTGTTTTCTACCCGCGACCCTGTACGCAGAAGAAGCGGTTGACGATGGATGGATTGTGTTTTCTGGTGTAGCAGATGAAGTCAGTGGTTGTTACAGACCAGCTTTGGCGCTTGGGCCCTGATACAAACTTCTGTTGTGTGTTCTCTGTTCTAGTACTTGTAGATTTATAGAAGTAAGAACAGGACTTCATGTTTTGAGACTCATGAAATGCTGTGTTTTTCTGAGAATGACCGATTCTTAGCATTTTAAACCAAGAAAGGTAGTGGTTTTAAATATCTGTCCAAATGGAAGAAACAGGGATACGTTCATCACAGTATATTTATAACTAATTTATTAGTCCTCTGTAGTGTGTAAATGTGAAAAACACAGACTTCAAAATTCAAATGCATATTTCACAATACTTGATTGCTATTCTTCTATTTTAATTTCAGTAGTTCATCTCTGTGCTTCCCTATTTACCCCTTTTATTTTGGAAATGTGCCCTGTGAAATAATGTATTTTATCAATTAACTTTAACATTTTTGTTGTCTGTTTTGATATGAATAAAACTACTAGTTTTCAACTCAGTAAACATATTAATGTTGTAAACTACGCCTTTATGTTGTATTGTGTTGATTTTATGTAGAAATGATAATTACAATGTACATTTAAAGGCTACTCAGGCTAATAGTGGCCTACTCCACTTTAGCTAGGAGATTAATACTGGTCAAGTGGAAGGACGCTTCCCCTCCTGTCTTTGCACATTGAGTTCAAGAGGTCATGCAGTCCTTGGAGGTAGAACAGATCAGATAAACCATGAGAGGTTAATATCAATATTCTACTTGACGTGGAAAGCCTTTTTAGACTTTGTAGATGGGTTAGATGCTCAGTTGCTAATTGAAATGGTTTAACACTCTTACACTCTTACTTGATTCTTCTTTTTTTCTCTCATCTATCTTAGTTTTACATGTTGTAAGAAAAAAACCTTGATTTAAAAAGTGATGATTAGGAGAAAATAGGAATTTTAGTAATCAAATGACACTGACACCTAAGCCCTATGAACAAAAATGCACATGTAGATTTTGTCTTCTAATGTAATGTAGTAAAATGTTAACATTTACACACCACTTTGTCCCAGTACAAGGTCAGAAATGTTCAAATCATAAAATATTCACATTAAACTCATAATTTAACTAACAGTAAAAGCATGTCCACAGTCACAAAACTACATACAGTATAAGTGCTGTCATGTGATAATAAACGTGTTCAGCATAATTCAAGATTCACTAAAGTGTGCTTAACCAACACCCTTACTTCCACACACTTGCCCCTCTTCCTGAGTGCCCAAAAGCTGCCTTCACTTACTGTTTGAAAGACTGGGAATTCTCGTACTTTCACATAGCTTTTACTGCAATAAATATGAATCATTTTCATTTTCAAAAAGTGAAACATGTTATGTGTATTTGCCATGTCGACTCTTCATTGAAACTGCAGGGCTCTGGAGTGTCTCCAAAATAGAAAATCTAGCTTAAAAATTATTTAGATAGGCCTACTTCTTCTGCTTCTAAAGTGCGATGACATTATGAATTGGCGCAAATTTTCTCATGAACTTCTATTGTTTCTTAGTTTATTTTATATAATGGCACTTCTAAAATAAATGTTCATAATTTTTAATTAACTTACTTACAGTTGACAATGATGAGTAGCATAGCTAACAGTAGTAATTGTAAAAAAAAAATTTACAAAAATTCTTTGTGGTCATAGGTAGTAACAAGACTTGATATAAGTTTGTATTTAATATTAAAACTATCAGGTTATGGTTAGGTAGGCCTAAAAGTTGTCTTCATTTAACTTCAGCAACAGGTAGCTTCGCAGACTACAGAGGAAATAAATTTGCTAACTCACTCTCATTGGTTAGCACTGTCGCCTCACAGCAAGACGGTCGTGGGTTCGATCCCCGGAACATTTTAAGTTGCTATGGAACTTTCTATGAAGTTAGCAAACATTTAACTGTTAATAACTGACAGATGCAGAAAATGACTGGATTTTATTAAGTCAAAAAAAAGTATTGCTCACCCAGTCAGTTACATCAAATATTGATTTGATTTTCTTCTGTTGAATCACTTTTATTTTGTTAATTTCTATTTTCTTGCAAAATAAAATTAGAATTTCATTTTTCAAGGAGTTTCTTACATGTCCACTAAGGTGGACAGCAAGCGTGTAAGGTTTTAACTTAAGACATATTTATTTAACAAACCAATGAATAAAATTATATAGTATGTGAAAACTATATTTTTAAGGCTGTTAAACTAATGTGGTCACATATTTTAACATATTCTAATGCAGTTTAATGCAATGCAAAAACGCTGAACCTCACTTCTGACTCCTCAGCCTCTCTTACTCAGCACCCTCAGCTCCACTATCAGTGATGCTAGCATTTGGGGATCCACCTGTTTCTGGCAGCCATTCATCGTCACTACCACAATTATTATTCTCACTTGATTCTGATGGAATTTGCTCCACTATCCTGAATGCCTTTCTATTACTTGCTGCAACACACTAAATGTTACTCACATAATGGAACTAATATTGTTTTTGTTACAAAAACTGCAAGTTTTACATTGTAATATAAAAAAATCCACTGATTTACATCCAAAAAAGGCCATCTTGGTTTTGATGAATTTAAGTTGCGCCTACAACGGCTTACCAGAGGGGGGCAGTGTATGGCATGATACACGACTAGACTATCAGAACCTCTGCCTATTCACGTTAAGCTCCTCAATAGGCAACAACTTCTGTTCATGACACAGTTTACGAGGAGACCCTGAATGCAACAGAAGCCCCTTTCCAGAGAGACAGCGATCAGACGAGAGGAGCTGTGAGGATTCCGTAAGTAACAAATCATTTACAGTAAGTTTTTTTTCTCCATAGATGAAATTACTGTGTCACCATCACATGAAACGCTTATCTTATGTCTCATTTGCGTGAAATAACGTTACAATCGCCAAAGAAGTTCGAAAAAGTTCATCACCTCGTTTCCTCTTTCCTCTATAACGTTAGTTACGGTACTTTACTGTTATTAACGTTAACGTTACCCTTCGAAATTGTTTGTGCTTTAACTTGTGATAATGAGACTATGAAGTTATAACTGAGCTAACGTTACTTAACTAGCCTATAACAACTAACTACATTCATTTGATCAAGTAGTTAAACTCTTAAATAGACGTCGTTGGTGTTCCCCTGGAAACTGAACGGTTTGCAGTCCTGCTGGTTTCATGCCATTCACAAGCCATTAACGTACGATAACTGACGTTGACCTCTGCGTCAGATGCCTCGCAAAGAGTGCACTGCACGAAAGATGCGTGATTGTATCGGATTAATTTAGCTAATCAATAATTCAACTTGTGTTATTTATTAGTAGCTAACGTTTCAATAGTCAGTCGATAGAAAGCCGCTAACGTTTCAATAGTCAGTCGATAGAAAGCCGCTAACGTTTCAATAGTCAGTCGATGGAAAGTCACACGTTGGGCTTATTTAGTCTCTGCTGCAAGATAACGAAAAGGAAACATGTAAGTTAACGTAGGTTAAGTAAGTTAAACTATAAAGTTAAGCTAGTAAGTTAGCTGTCAAGCTAGAGGGACATGGCCCCATATGTGTATTTGGGATAAACATAAGGCCAAGGGGAACTGACGAAAAAAAAGGTCAGCTGTAATGTTTCTGAGAAGAAAGTTTAAAGGGTCACATTAGTTATAAAAGTGTTATAATATCCCTGCAAACAGGAAAGAACTTTGGATATTTCAGCAAAAAACCCTCTGAGTTTTCAGATGCTTGATATAAAGTTAGTCAAACTACTACTTTAAGTTGCCAGTTTATTAGGTGCACTTAACTTTCATTCTCAGTGAACAATAAAACAACATTTCAAACCATCTCAATTCATCCAGTTTATGACCAAGTGGCCAGCAACCGACAGGGAGTTAACAATCAATTTACCCTCTCAAATCAACACTTGACTTGCCTACAATAAAATCCATAGATATAAAACACCTCATAATGTTAGTTCAAACATTTATTATCACTTGTAAAAAGGCATTTTTGACAGGCCTACAATGTAAGAAAATGACCAAATATAAAAAACATGCAGGTTGTCTTACCTTACACCTAGGTTATGCATCAAAAATCAAGGCTTCGACCACAGAACATCATGGTCAATCCCAAAGTCCAATCCCAAACGAAAAAACAAGACAGCCTCCTAATGATCCAAAAGCACAGCCGATTTCATACAGAGATACTGCAATAATTGCGGAAAGAATCTCAGCAAATACCGTAAAACTTCAGTTAATAGTCAAGTCCCATAAAGCTGTCTACCCCGTTAACTGGCCTGGTGTGGGATATAAATCTTCTTAAACTCCGGGTCGCTCGCTTTAGCTGCTTAGATCGATAATACAAATATTAATGTTTAAACATATGTTCAGTATGTCAGTATGGACATGCTGCACATCGTAAGATCGGTTAGATTCTCCACAGTTTAATTTAGTTCAATTAAAAAAGTCAAATTCTTATTTATTTACCGGTGTAAACAACATGGTACAAGAAATGAATGTGCTCCTTCACTATTAATATTCCTTTAGTCTGTAAGGATCCACCAGTTAAAAAATGAATCCACGTTGTGAATCCAGTCATGTGAAGTCCATCACTCTCTGTCTGCTAACCTCTGCCACACTTTTCTCATCCTGCACCGTGTTGTTGTTTTTGTTACGTTGCTGCCTACAAAATAAAAGTGCATAAGCCGTCTGTCGGAGCTAGATCAAATGAATGACGTGTATTTGATATTTTTATACAAGTATTGTTCTGTTTGAAATAAATAAACTGTTTCATAGTAGCCTATAGCACTTTTGTGCGAGAGGAATTAAAGGCCTGTCCCATATGGACGCCTGTCCCAAATCAGATCAGTTTTTTTTTTGGTGTGTTACTACAATGTCATGACCTCAGAGCTGTTTGCTTACTGGACAATTTGATAAGATGTAGTAGAGGCCACAGCGTTCTCAAGGTGAAGATAGAGAACTTTGCAGCAGCTTATTGCTAGCTGTGGAAAAGCTCCTCTACCATAGATTTTGCAGTGTGGAAAATTGCTGTGTTGATAACCAAATACAAAGTGGTTTAACAAGAAATGTTAAACCTCGCCTAATATGATAGGTTAGTGAAGTGAGTCATTGGTTTTCTTGGGTGAATGCTGATGAATGTTTCCATTTCTTATTCGGGTGGTGCTCCGAGTCCTGTAGATGGGATATCATATTTGACGGCATATCATACGGCAGACTTAGTCTTTTGGGGGACAATGCTCAGGGTTCACCTCCTTCGGCCATCCTTCACACAGGTGCTGCTCGCACCAACCAGAGGGAGAGGCCGTGTAACTGTTCACAGCACACACCCAGCGGGATTCCTGCACTTTCAGTCCAGTGCTTGAAGTTGAAAGAAATAGGTGCCAGTCACCCCCCTTAGTAAATATTGTAACATTAAATACAAATTAAAATGTTAATAAAATATTAATATATATTGGGATAGTCTGCCTGCCTGACATTCATTAAATTATTGTGCAAGAAAAATGCTCTACATGGTAGTTAGTCTGTGATTTGTTAAGCATTCATGCAACAAGTTCAACATTTAAAAAGTTTGGTGATTGCATCACTTTGTGTTGCAAAGTGGTGAAGACGGGTGTGACGACTTTGAGCATTAAACACTTAATTTCCTGCATTCTGGAGACATTTTCTGCACCAATTAATGGTGGAAATGTCTTTATTTATATGAAGGAAAACAAAACTAAGGTGGCAGGTGACAATACAAAATATAATGGAATGGAATGCATGGACAATGCATTTCTTTCTTCTATATTTTCTATATATTGCATGTTTTCTTATTGTGCATTGTTTCATTTTTTATTTAACATTTCTTGTTGCAAGTTGTTTTTCAAAACATTTTTAACAAAAACTTTCAAAAAGTGATGGAGACGTTAGGTGTGTTCGAGATGACGGCATCTGACTTTCGCCGACTTGATGGTCTAACGTGAGCTGCAGTTGACTGCAGAGGCGGGGTATAAAAACGGCGCCGTCAAGACGGACACAATTCTACCTGCATCAGCTTGCTGTGAGCTGAGATCAATGACTGATCCCGCGGCATTTGCAAAGGTGCCGGAACTACATACCGGCCCACTTCAAGCACTGTTTCCGTCTTTCACAAGACAGCTCATACCGGGACAACGAACAGTTTTAGTAGTTTTGAAACCTTGACTTTTTCATACCTTGAAACCGGTAACTGGCCCATGCCTAGTAGAGTTCAGCTTGTACACACACACACACACACACACACACACACACACACACAATGATGGGAATTACATCTCTTTGAAGGGAGACGGATCTTATGGCTCCGGTATTTTTTGAGAGCCAGCTTTGTCCGTAGTTGTTCTTACAACTTGTTAAGCTAATAGCGAATTGTTATGAACAAGCTAAAACAAAAGCTGTCTCTAAAATGTAATTTTTAATTTTATATAGAGCCATTTCATAACATAAGTTATCTCATTGCTCTCTTCATATAAAGCAGGTCAAAACAGTACTCTTTGGAATATTATTCAGGCCTCTACAGTGCAACCATTTCACTTGCATATGGCCCTAAAGCATGTGAACCAGAAAATAGATTTACGAGCAGTGTGCGATTAAAGACTACAACCTCCCGTAACATTGTAATGATAATTGTAATTTTTATTCAAATTATGTCAAATTATCTAGTTTGTCTATGAAGATTCTCAGTCATCCAGGTCATAGTTATCCAACGAAGGTTAAAATCAAGGGTTGAAGATACTGGAAGACGTTTCGTCCCTCATCCAAAGGACTTCTTCAGAACTGAAGAAGTCATAAGATACAGTTACCTCATAATGTTGATTTAAATACACAACAAAAGTACATGGAGAGTGGAGCTCAGTGGCGTCAGTAGTGTAGGGGGTGAGTGAGAGTGGAGATAGTGTGAGTGTTGTAAGGTGCATGTGAACAAAGGGAAGAACTGAAGCTGCCACATAACCAAACAGGTGCCTGCAGGTAGAGCTGGGCAACAAGTAGATTTTATCAATTCATTCAAAATACACTCAGCAGCGTGGGAGATGTGGGTGGCACAGTTTTGTTCCGTTCTCTGCCTGCGTCCTCTTCCATCAGCATCCACTGGAAGCGTCTCAGAAGCGTTTCAGCAGCGGAGTGTGCAGGCTGCCACATGTTATTGACTTGTTAATTTGTCATTTTGTGCTTCTACTACCTTCTTCACAGCTCTCTCAGAATCAGAGCATTTTGCCTGGTTGATCGTGCGGACATGTTTAGATGTTGTTGATTTTGTTGTGATTAGTGCTTGCTTTTTGTGCTTCTACTATGATTAAGTTGGCTACGTAGTTAAATGTTTTCTTTTTTGTCTGTTTTAACTGTGTTTTTTGTTCATTGTGAGGGTGTTTTATTTTGAAAATTGAATGGATTCATTATGCTGTTCTGTGTCTGACTTCCTGCCCGGTTCGATCTGTTCTGTGCAGCTTGATTCACGTTCTGTCAAAAATAGACTAGCTACCTATTCGTCTGGGACTGCGGCCGCGTCTGGTGGACTCACGTGCATTTACTAGAATGGCCGTGATTAGCCTTAGCAACGGCGTCGTAGCCATAACGCGACACAGGCGGATGTAATGGACTTTGCTGTTAATAAAAAGCAGGTGACATTAGTGGAATCATTTTCCCGTACTATCCCAACCCAAGTTTGTAAATCAGGTGTAATGTGAAAAAATCTGAGATTTTTTTTTAGGCCATATTGCCCAGCCCTACCTGCAGGGAAGAAGTGAGACTGTTAGTAATCGCCAGAGCTTTGTAGACACTGATGATGCAAATAGAGAATTTCTCCCCAGAGCTATGCTTCAGTGTTTACAGTGTGTTTCCCTCCTGAAACCAGAGCCTAGCAGCAGTCAAGTGCTCCCAGCTGAACACCCATATTAGACAAACTCTCACAACAACTAACAGTGGTTGCCTGGCCAAGCTATGATGCCACAAGGCACCAACTGTCATTTCCTCAGAATGCTTGTGGTTTACAGTTTGCTGAGACAGTTTCCTATCAAACTCTCCTCCCACTTGCCTGTGCTTTGATTTTTTTAAAATTGTTTTTGTCACACATCCCCAAATCAACTTGAATTGTTTGCCATTATTTTTCCCAATTTTTAAAATTAAAACTCAGGCTTTTGTTTTTTTCTCTACATTGTTGTGATTATTATCCCCATACTAACATACAAAGTGATACAAAGTGAACATTTGTTGGTGGTCAGAGAGTGTCTTACCCTACAGCATGGTCTTTTTTTTAAAAGATATTTTTGGGGCATTTTATTCCTTTACAGAAGGAAGTCGACCAGGTTTCTCCACTTGTTTCTGATGCCTCTGCTGCCACGTTTGCAGGTGAGACTTGCGGGTAAGAGATTTGTTGTTGTTGTAGAGTAATACAGCTGCTGTATACAAAGTCAGCAAACAGCCTTTGCTTAAGCTGGGTATACACTGCAAAATTTTAGAAATGTAGTGTTTAATTCCACCTTACACTGTACAAGTAAATCGTCTGTAACTTAAATCCAAAGCTCACAATTTACATGCTCACACTGTACAGTCCGATGGTAAGCGACAACCAGAGTGCTCACACTGTCAGTGCATAAAACGGCCTGTCAGTCTCTGCTGACCTGTCTGGCTATGGACAATTGTCAATAAAGATTTGTTTGAAAGCTTGGAGGCAGGTAGAAGTTTGTTTGCTAGCAAAAATCTTAACAAGGCAGAAACGTACTGCCTTGATCATCTGTGTGCCAAAACGTCTAATAGAAAAAGAGGCACCGCTGTATATGGGCACCGGTGCAGCAACATAAATTCATCCAACTGTCTGAAGGCCATTCAGGAGCAGTTGATTGGTCTCTCTCCCCCCTCCCCTCCGTACGCTGCATGGCAAACAAAGCTCAAATTCGACATTTAAGAGAGGGCATAATAGGGCATGCAAATGGCCACGCTGATTTTTGACAGCGCCCTCTGCTGGACCACAAAAACTTCAATTTTTTTTTTGAGGGTTTTCAAATAAAAAATGACAGCCCTAAAGTACAGTTTGAATTTTTTCTCATACTCCTTTCAAGACTCACGCTGTTGCACCATGGAAGTCAAAAAATAAGACCCATTTGATTTGAAGTATGTTTGCATTTTAATATGCCAAGAAAAGGAGAAATTATACTTGCTATGGGTACATGTCATACAATGTTTGCTAAGTTTTCCAAACACTTCGATGTTTCCTCTTTTAGAAAATGGTAGATGCCAGCTATGAGTCAAATTAGGCCCTGCCTGTGGACTCGGCTCCCCCAGAGCAGCCGATCCCCATGTGACCGTTACAAGCAGGCCTGCTGCAGCTATGATGGATATGTGTATATCCTGGGAGGACGAGACAACAACTGTTTGAGGGACTTCTGGAGGTACAGCGTGGGTAAGGGCTAGATACACATCTGTTGTTCGATTTCTTTTAGAGTTGAATTCAAATCAACAATGTATTTGACACTGGCATAATTATTACAGTATTTTACAGGTGCTGGTCATATAATTAGAATATCATCAAAAAGGTTGATTTATTTCAGTAATTCCATTCAAAAAGTGAAACTTGGATATTATATTCATTCATTACACACAGACTGATATATTTCAAATGTTTATTTCATTTAATTGTGATGATTAAAACTGACAACTAATGAAAATCCCAAATTCAGTATCTCCAAAAATTAGAACATTACTTAAGACCAATACAAAAAAAGGATTTTTAGAAATGTTGGCCAACTGAAAAGTATGAACATGAAAAGTATGAGCATGTACAGCACTCAATACTTAGTTGGGGCTCCTTTTGCCTGAATTACTGCAGCAATGCGGCGTGGCATGGAGTCCATCAGTCTGTGGCACTGCTCAGGTGTTATGAGAGCCCAGGTTGCTGTGATAGTGGCCTTCAGCTCTTCTGCATTGTTGTGTCTGGCGTATCGCATCTTCCTCTTCACAATACCCCATAGATTTTCTATAGGGTTAAGGTCAGGCGAGTTTGCTGGCCAATTAAGAACAGGGATACCATGGTCCTTAAACCAGGTACTGGTAGCTTTGGCACTGTGTGCAGGTGCCAAGTCCTGTTGGAAAATGAAATCTGCATCTCCATAAAGTTGGTCAGCAGCAGGAAGCATGAAGTGCTCTAAAACTTCCTGGTAGACGGCTGCGTTGACCTTGGACCTCAGAAAACACAGTGGACCAACACCAGCAGATGACATGGCACCCCAAACCATCACTGACTGTGGAAACTTTACACTGGACTTCAAGCAACGTGGATTCTGTGCCTCTCCTCTCTTCCTCCAGACTCTGGGACCTTGATTTCCAAAGGAAATGCAAAATTTACTTTCATCAGAGAACATAACTTTGGACCACTCAGCAGCAGTCCAGTCCTTCTTGTCTTTAGCCCAGGCGAGACGCTTCTGATGCTGTGTCTTGTTCAAGAGTGGCTTGACACAAGGAATGCGACAGCTGAAACCCATGTCTTGCATACGTCTGTGCGTGGTGGTTCTTGAAGCACTGACTCCAGCTGCAGTGAATTGTGAATCTCCCCCACATTTTTGAATGGCTTTTGTTTCACAATCCTCTCCAGGGTGCGGTTATCACTATTGCTTGCACACTTTTTTCTACCACATCTTTTCCTTCCCTTCGCCTCTCTATTAATGTGCTTGGACACAGAGCTCTGTGAACAGCCAGCCTCTTTAGCAATGACCTTTTGTGTCTTGCCCTCCTTGTGCAAGGTGTCAATGGTCGTCTTTTGGACAGCTGTCAAGTCAGTGGTCTTCCCCATGATTGTGTAGCCTACAGAACTAGACTGAGAGACCATTTAAAGGCCTTTGCTGGTGGTTTGAGTTAATTAGCTGATTAGAGTGTGGCACCAGGTGTCTTCAGTATTGAACCTTTTCACAATATTCTAATTTTCTGAGATACTGATTTTGGGGTTTTCATTAGTTGTCAGTTATAATCATCAAAATTAAAAGGAATGAACACTTGAAATATATCAGTCTGTGTGGAATGAATGTATACATTATACAAGTTTCACTTTTTGAATGGAGTTACTGAAATAAATGAACTTTTTGATGATATTCTAATTATATGACCAGCACCTGTATATGATGCATGCGATATAGAAAAGTGTCTTGTGGTATGCTCTTCTAAAAGCCAGAAGAAAGAAAGCAGCTGTGTTACATAAAGCAGCATGTTGTGGTTTGATGCCTGCCTAATAAAACATATGATTGTGTGCAATATTATAGTGTGTAATGAGTGGACAGAGTTGAATTGCACCGGTGAAGCTGCACCAGAAGAACTAGAAGAACATTCTATGGTGGCTCATGAGGTACAAACTTATCAGTCATTTTTTTTTCAATTTCATAAAAACGTGATTTATCTGATATTTCTTCTATCTCTGCCACACTGGTGTGTCAGTGTGTCAAGAATATGTTTAACAGCTTCAACCTTTTCAGGGCTTCCTGTATGTTTTTGGAGGCATGCTGGATTCTGCATACACCAAGTGGAGATGTTCCCTGTGGGTATTTGACATTGGTGAGTTTCACTGTGGAGGTCTATGCATATTGCAGCCAAGGCTAGTCACTATTATTATTTTAGGCTATAAGCAATTGCACAGGCTTGTCCCTTCCTCACAGCTCCAAACCCATGTGGTAATATTCAGTACCATAGATCAGCTGTGTGTGAAATCTCACATGGACTATAAAATAAATATGTTTCTCAGTTTTTATATGTTTGAAAAAACAAAACAAAAATCCCATATGATAAAAGTCAGCTACTCAAAAAAAAGTAACAACATAAGAAAATGTAATTTCTGTTCACTAATACTGATCATGTAAAGCTGTATTAAGCATAGGGCTGCTCATAATCACAATTATTTAACACAATTACTCACTTACTAAGGAAACAGCAATCCATCATTAGCAACATTAAATGGCATCTTAAGTGTGCAAGAGGATGACAGCAGCACAGTGTCTCCACTAGAATGACAGCTTTGGGGGGCAGATGAGCCACTGCCGAGCAGAGACAGAAGTACTACCGAGCTGACAATAAATCATTACATCATGAGTTTGGTCTTTTAGGGAGGGGCACAATTTCTAACACAAGACAAAACGAGAGCATCTCTGCAAAATGGAATGTGGCACATTAGTCATTTTATTTCATTTTCATGATTGTTGGAAGCCATAATCATAATTGAAAATCAAATTTTATTACTTGCACAGCCGTAGTTTATAAAGTTAAGATAGCTACAATGTCCTAGAGCTGTAACATAAATAGCAATTGTTAGTCGCTTTGGATAAAAGCGTCTGCAAAATGAAATGTTTAATTTTTTTCCCCTTATCAATCAGCATATGTCTTGTACTTGTTTTATAATAGGTTTAAATCGTTCAATTGTAAATCAAGTTATTCTCCATGTTTGTGTTAAAATAAAGCTCATCATCAACATCATTTTAAATAATCAGTGTGCATGTCCAGTTAAGCTTTTATACTACAGTCTTGCAGCCATATTTCACTGTGTCAAGAACAGTGCCACTGGAGGATAGTACCAAAATATGGGAGATAATAATTCATTGTGATCATTACAAAGTCTGCTCATAGGAGTATGACATGAAAGTGCAGTCCTGGTTGATTTGGGAACACTTTACTGGGGGTAACAGGAAATGTGGTTTGATACTACAGGTCCTAGAATTCTGGGGGCAGCAAAACAAACGTTAAGCGTTTTAATGATGAAGTCAGGCAGTAATTGGCCTTTTTCCATCATTCTGTGAGCAGCCGTGATCTGATTTTCTGCTGCACGAGTCTGCAAACGGCAGTGAAAGGGCTGGTTACCTCAGTGTGCAGCCTGTCTCGTGCAGCTCTTCATCTAACAGCTCACTGTGCTGCTCGTGACTCTTCATTACTCCCAGCAATATTTCAGACTGATCTGCTGCTGGAAATAACTGTTGCCTTGTTGCAGACACATTTTTGATCAATGATAGCGACACTCAAACACATCGCATTTCCTGTGATTGTTTCATTATAAAAGTCAACTTATGTTTCCAGTTAAATACTTTTAATGTGAAGCTGCAGCAAAAGGGAAAGGTTTGTTTGCATCAGCAGTAACTTAATACAGATTTAATTTTCTGGGAGTGACACTCTATACTGCAGATCTATAAATATTGCAATATTTTCATCAGTGGGCAATAGGCTCAGTCACCATTGTGTTACCTCATTCAGCAATAGTAACTCTGAAATCTTCTAGATTGTTACTTTAACTTACCATTATTTAATATATCATCTTCTCAAGTTCATTAGCTAAGCTCTCCTTTATTTTCAATTTCCATTGTTGTGTGTTTCAGCAAAGCAAAAGTGGGTGCGCAGCCATGGAAAGACGAGCTCTCCTCAGGTACACAGCGCCTTTTACATCAGAATGACTGAGTACTAACAGATAAAATGAAACCACTCTGGTCTCCTGTTGCTCTTGTCAAGTTTCATTGTCAGTATTCTTACTGACAACAATTGTAAAGGATTAGATCTTGTTTTAAATGGATAATACATGTAAATAATGACATGTTTTGCATTTGTAGTCATAAGACTTAACACATTGGGGAATGTACTGTACTGAAGTTAGTTGAATGAAAACAAAACACATCAGGTAAAGTTGGTCCTTCCTGGAAATTACCCTGTTTTACATTTGAGCAGCAGTTCTTTTTGGAATCAATAGCTGAACAACTGCCTTGTTAGCATCAGCAGTGATAGCTAGCAAGGCTAAAACTCCAAGTGGTAGATGCTTCATTTCTCAGAGTTTCTGAAAAGGAATTACAAGTTTGGAGGCAATTCAAGTGGATTTCTTTCAACATGCAAGTCAGATACTTCTTAGCTCCTAGTTGCTCCCAGGTCACGGCTGACATTAGATCTGGATTTCTGTAGCTGATTTTGCCGTTCTCCTCTGCCTCGTTCCTGTCAATACATGTTTTAGACACCAGTGTGTTTTGTTGTTCTGAATTCTGATTGTGCAACATCACTTGAAATGTAACTGTACACATAACCAGTGGTGGGTTTTATAAAGGGCCTGATGATGTTACATTAATGAACAATCTGGTTCAATTCAACGGCTCTTTGATACAAAACGGGAAACGATGGATGAACAACTCTTGCAAGATCCTCAGTACAAGTTCAGCTGTCACAGTTCTGCAGTTAAAGACAAAAGCAATGTTTGGGTTCAGCTGGCTATTAAGCAATGTCAGCGCCTTTTCAGAAAGTCAATGCAAATTTAGAAATCATTGTTTTATTTGATGGTCTAACTGCTGTACATATATATATATATATATAAATACTGTAAGTAGCCTGTTGACTCTTAAAGATGTTTGTGTGTGCATGTATGTGTGTGTCTGTGTTTGTAGACCCAACTGCCAACCAACAGAAAAGGACACAGCGCTGTGGTGGTTGGCTCTGCAATGCTGGTGTATGGAGGATTCATAGACATGAAAGGATCCTCGCAGGACTTCTGGAGTTTGAATTTTGGTTAGTTTAAAATTGCTTTTATTCCCATAGAAAAAGTATACAAGGGTGTTTATTCTTGTTATAGCTACTCGTGGATGCACACAGTATAGTGTTCTTATTTGTATCTATAGACTGTATAGACTGTAGACTGTATAGACTGTAGACTGTATGCCACAGACTGTAAAAAAGAAGTGGATGTAGTCATCGTGATATACGTCACTCGTTGGTTTGTGGACTGCCGTTTTGAAGCCTCTAGTTTGGCAGTTTGGCCACCGCCATGTTGATTTTCTGGAGCTGGTTACATTTACACGGTGCTGAGGGTACGAGTCACTCTAGCCTGATTGACAGGTCGCCGTGGTTGTCAATCACAGGGTAGTCCCGCCCTGAAGCATACTTTATCTTCTGTTTTCATCTAAAGTGGACTATATTTTACTAAATGAACATCATGTTGTATTTAAGAAGACATGAAACTGGCAATTGAGACTATAAACTCGTTATGAAAGTGTTTACTGAGGTAATAAATCTTTTACCATTATTTCTAATGGAACCAGACTTCTTTCTACAACCAGAGAATTTTGCTCCCTGCTGGAAGTTCGATAGAATGCAGGTTTAAGGGCCTTCCCCATTCGCCTCAATTCTCAGACCCGGAGGTTCCCGTTTGGTTTCCACAGAGAAGACCCCACAGCTCCGGTATGTGCATTAAATGTAGATCCTTATGTGTGTTTGCTATGCCTGACAGATACCATGACATGGTCACTGCTGAATGGCTCTCAGCAGGGCTCATTAGGCCCAGGCCCCAGACACAGTCACTCAGCCATGGCCTACCAGAGCTGCATGTACCTGTATGGGGGCCTTAAAGGCTTGCAGGAGCAGAGAGACTTCTGGAGGTGGAATTCCACCAGCCATATGTGGACTTCCCTCAAAAACAAGTAAGTAGGGATTTCATCTGTCAGTTTGTCCTTTATAATGTTGCCTGGGTTCCACAGTAAAATATGGTATTAATATCGCAAAAGAACCCTAATATGCTGTCTCAAATGCTGGCTAGATGAAGGTTCCTCAAGACTTTTACTGTGTTGAGTGGAAACACCCCGTCCTTCTCTATCACAAGACAAAACCGTAGTCTTTCCTTACACAAGTTAGGAGTTTTAAAAAGTAGTCTTTGAATATGAGAAATGAATGCTTAAAACGGACAGACAGACCATCATGCTGATCACATAACACATAAACTTTTGAGTGATTTCCTATCTGTGGAATTTCCTATCTTAGAACACTATGGTGCAGTGTTAACTGCAACACACATTGGTAGGGTATGAATGCATCGAAACACCTGCTGTCTAGTAAGCCCAAACAGCTGCAGCATCTTGCCGCATGTCATTGTGGGTTGATGTGTGCTGTCACTGACAAGTTGACGCAACAAATCAGGGAAAGCACCAATTTTATCATATGTGCATGATTGTTACACCTGGTCTTCTTGACTACTCCTTTTGTCTGTGTGCCACACCCAGTATGTGGCTCTCAATTGACACAACTCTACATGATGCAGCTTATCTGCGCTGCAATTTAATGTAACAGGCTGTAATGAATTCCTGTTAATACACTATTGCCTTGTAATGCAGTAGTGTATTTATTACTTATTTTCAGCAGGGCTGTCTGGAAGTCTGCATATGTGGACATGTTGACACATGTGCAGACGACACATACGGTCGGTGCACACACGTCATTATTAGTCATTTTACCATTACGTGTGGAGACATGGCATTTAGCAACTTGCCTCTTGAAACACATTTCTGAGGACATCTCTCCATTTTTCTCAGATCAGGTTCATGCGACTGGTTTTGTTTCTGGTTTGGAACCCATATGTCTTGTTTATTACAGCCATGTGAAACCTCAACTGACGTAGTGACACTTGGTGTAGCCTGGTTTATTCGCTCCAAACCAGCTGATGGAAACGCACAGATTTTACAAATTTCAAAAGTACGCTTAAAATTTGCATGACAATTGGATGGAAACATGGCTATTGACATTGTTCCTGTGTGTGTATGTGTCCCAGCAGTAAACAGAGCACTCTTTTCGTGGGAAAAAATACTGCTTGTGGCCGATATGGCCTTATAATAATATCACAATATTGCAAGTCTTTTTTGTGATAATATTTTTGACGGTACACACACACACACACACACACACACACACACATACACATACTCTGTGGGGCTTGGAATTAACTTTTTTGCTGATTACCCAACGGCGCAACCCTGTACGCAGGATCTGACTGGATTTATGTTTCTCATCATGAAGCTCTGGTAGCTGTGAGTAACTGGAGCTCCTTCCACCTGAAACGAGGATACAGTACAAACGCATCGTCTGCTTTCCTACGTGGCATGATTATTTTTATTAAAAAATAGAATCAACTCTGGAAAGGTAGTTGACAGCGATATTACATATGATGTGACATAAGGGCAGCCCTGCTAGTAGTCTGTTTTTTTCTTTTTTAAACACCACCATGTCCCTTAACCCCTTAAAGCCTGAATTTTTTTTACGATCAAAAACAAAAAAAAAATATTTGTGTTTTCATTTACTTTCAAGCTGATTATTTAAATTAAGTGACGATTGTTAATTTGTCTTTAGAACATAGAAAAGATGGCAGGAGGCTGACGGTCTGCAGGTCTAAGGGACTGTGGCTGCCCTGTGACAGTTTCAACTTATTTATTCTCATTTGACAAAAGTCTATATGTCATATTTCTTTCTTTCGGCACTGCAGGTGAGTGTGAGACGCGCCTGTTGTGTAATCCACACAACAGGCGCGTCTCCTCTCCTGCTATTAAAAAGCTTGCTTTGTCATCGCTGACGCTGGTTAAGTTGTTAATTAACAGCAGGCCAAAACAGCCCTCAGGCTCCCGGTGCTCCTGACGTCCGCTAGTTCATTATCCACAACGTTTTCTTGTTTACAGTGTCGTCTGTCACTAGTGCGCAAGACAATGGGCTTCACTAATGGACCAATGAACAAACACTATGTGCGGGTAGTGTCATAATGTCACATTGCAATTTTTTTTTTTGCAAAGACAATTTTTCAACACGCCAAAGTGGCTAGTGGGCTTGACAGTGTTACCAGGTGTTAATGTCAAGCCCTGAGTGTGTGTGTGTGTGTGTGTGTGTGTGTGTGTGTGTATTATATGCAGCTATTATCAGCTGGTGTGGTCAGCGCTTGTATTCAGTCTGTGTGAAAGAAGATGGATTCACAGTTTGTTTTAGAGGATCAGAATAATTTAAAATAGATTTCTGATCTGCGGCAAAACAACCTGCTTTACTTTACATTCAGCTATTCAATATTGAACTTTAAAAGAACTTTTAACTCAGTGCAGACCATATTGGGGAAACTGTGCCAAGCTGGTGATTATCAAGCTAACTCCAGTCTGCTGTTGGACTGGCAGCGTTGTTTGCCCTCCTCTTCTGTAGTCATTTTTTTCTCTCACATCCCCACCTGACTGCATCATTATCCTCTACCTAATTGACCCATCACTAACCCATTTATTGCATGTTACTAACACAACTTCTCCCCTTTCTGGTAGTCTTGTGCTTTCTCGTCTCTCTCCTCTCTCCTATCACTTCCTGCAGGTTTTCTAGCTCTGGAGCTGTGGAGTCTGGATCTGTGGTTGCGGGTCACCTGCTGCCCCCGTGTTCCTGCTCGACACCCTCTGCTGCAACGACTATTGTTGCTAGTCTTATTGTTATTATTGTTATTATAATCATTAACATTATGATTGTTACCATTAACACTACTATAAATATCTGTACCATTTTTCATTTAGTCTATAGCAACATCACCTTCACTGTCTGTACCTCTGTGTGTATATTGTGTAGGCTGCCTCCCTCCCCTCTCTCTCTCCTTACATCTCTCTCTCTCTCTCTCTCTCTCTCTCTCTCTCTCTCCTTCACCCCAACCGGTCGAGGCAGATGGCCGCCCACCCTGAACCATGGTTCTGCTCGAGGTTTCTGCCTCTTAAAAGGAAGTTTTTCCTTGCCTCTGTCGCCTAGTGCTGCTCTTGGTGGGAACTGTTGGGCTTCTGTAAATATCATCACAGAGTACGGTCTAGACCTGCTCTTTTATGAAAAGCGCTGTGAGATAACTGTTGTTGTGATTTGGCGCTATATAAATAAAATTGAATTGAATTGAATTGAATTGAATTAAGCCACGCCCCGAATATGCAAATGGACAATCACAGCACAGTATAGGACTCGCTCTAACTGAGGTCTATCTTTCCAAGATATAGTCAAACTCTCTTCCTGGGTCACTTGTAATACTTACAGTCACTCCCCAGAGAGGTTGAACGGAGTGGTACGATTTATTCCCTTTCTAAAATCTAAAACAAATCCAGAAAAATGCCGGCTGTGGATTGTTCCTAATGTAATGTTAGCTAGCTAACACTAGCTAACTTACTACTGAATGTAACTTTATAAAGCCCTACTTAGCAACAGTAACTAAGGTGAGCGAAGGGTCAATTTATAAAAATGTTTACTGCAATGAAAACATACAACTGTGATGAACAATTGTCAGTGTCACCTGAGCTAAATCAGATCCTGACACGACTCTTGTGATCTTGTGGTACCCCTTCCACATGACTTAAATGACTCAGTGGAGGCAGCAGCAATGCTTTCAGCTGTGTGTTGCTGATCATTGTCATCACACATCACATCAACACATCACAGTACTGTAAACACTGTAGACACATTTTCATCACATTAAGATTTACACTGGAATTATCATGAGTAGTAAATGTAAGTTTACTAAACTTCACAAGCAGTTTGTTGAAGCGCTTGATAAGGCCTTGCCAAAATCTAACTGGTAGCAAAAGAACTTTATTTTGGTAGGATAAGAGAATACCTGCCAGTTTTCAGCTGACTGTACTAATGTGACCTTCTCTATCTTGTTCTGTCTGCTATCCCAGACACTTGGCAGGAGTCAAGATGGATGGAGCACTATAGTTTATTCTGCAACAATGGTTCACAAACACAACCACAGTTGCTCATCATGAATGAGAAGTTATGCTTAGCTATGCTTGGTAATAGTAAGCTGCCATCAACAATAAATGCAATAATATTTAAATAAACAATATTCAAAATAACTCCTATTACATTACCATGGAATTATTACATGGATTATATTTTAACCCAATGTTCTCACTCTAAAGCTGCGTTTTATAAATATAGAACCAAAATATACTGTGCTACCACCTTGTGGTGGCAGTGGAGTATAGAAGACTTGTCTGCAGCCTACACAAACTTACTCCTGCCACTTTAACTCGTCAACTACATACACTGCAATAAAATGCTTAACAGTTTTATATATAAACATACCTGCAACAATGGTTCACAAACACAACCCCAGTTGTTCATCATGAATGAGAAGTTGGTCAGATGTCCGCTCTCACTCGAACTAGACAGCAAGGTTCCAGATTACAGTTTTTTCTGATGGCTTAAGCACATTTTTTGTAACTATTGGCTAATTTTTGCAAAACTCTACACACAAATCAGAAAACCCTTCACCAAATCAGCAAAACATTGTAATTCTCTTGCAAAAGCTAATAAATTGCTTAACTCTCTAAAATGGTATTTTTGTATCAAACAGTTAACACAAGCCATCACATTAATAAGCCCACAATGCGCCAACTACACACTGATGGTATGAATAAAAAAAACACATCTGGCTTTTGCTTTGTCTGTGCACAAGGTAGGCTGTGTCAGTTTGAGGTCATACTTTTGTCATAGTTCTGTAAACATACAGGGATCCAAACTTCAAGTCCTGGTGTTTATTTACACACATCAAAACAAACACAAGTGTTTTTTTTCCAAGTCAAAACACAAAATAGTAATTTCACTGAGAAACAAAAATAATAAATCAGTCTACATCGTGTCGTCTCTCTGGGTCTGGCCACAAAATTTTGTCTACATCACATGCAATGTCCTCTAGTCTAAGGCACCGGGGAAAATATCTTCTGGAGTGCCGTATCCAGGCCTGACATGATGCCTGGTCAATTTCCCCACATGCCTCCATTGCCTGTAAAAGAGCTATGCGTTGATGGGGATGACGGTCATAGACCTTCCAGCGCCAGGCAGAGAAGAACTCTTCAGTTGGATTCAAGAATGGAGAGTATGGTGGGAGGTTGAGTACAGTGAAGAGTGGGTGATCTGTAAACCAGTTGCGGACCAAAGCAGCCCTCTGGAAAGTAACATTGTCCCATATGATGACGTATCTGGTCTGCTCTGGTCTCTGAACATTAGTGAGCATGTCATGGAAGGTGTCCAGGAATGTAATAATTTGTGCAGTGTTGTATGGGCCTAGGGTTGCATGATGGTGAACAACACCATTTTGACTTATAGCTGCACACATAGTTATGTTACCACCACCTTGTCCTGGGACATTGATGATGGTGTCCAATAATGTTCCTGCCACGTCTCCTTGTTTTACTGAGGTTAAAACCTGCCTCATCCACAAAAAACTGCTCATGACCCATGGCATCTGCCTCTAGCTCCATCACTCTCTGGACAAGACAAAACAAATGCAGCACATCAGGCCCGTGCACAGCACTACAGTATGCACTTCCAAATTCAGAACCAATGACACTATAGCTTACCTGCACATAGTCATATCGCAGTTGTTTTACACGTTCACTGTTTCTGTCAAAAGGGTATGTTTTGGAAGGTGGTGTCATCCTCAGTTATGCGCTGCTGTATTTCTCGTAGCCTTATGGAATTATTTGCAATCACCATATTGAATATGTGGGTCTCTTGTTCTGCAGTGAACATTCTTCCTCTGCCCCCAGCATCTGGACATCTAGCAATTCTGTAAAGTAACAATTTCAGTATTTTTACAACATATTGTTGTGTTTCTCATTAGAGTATGGCAGTGCTACAAAACGTAGTGCAAAGTGACTGTACTAACCGATTCTCATTTTGAAATGTCCTTATGATGCTTGCTACAGTGTAGCGGCTCAAGTTAGGCTGAACCTGTTGGCCAGCTTCCCTCAGGGTCATTCCATGGTTGATTACATGGTCCACTATTGTAGCTCTGATGTTTTTTAATTTAGTAATTCTATTTCTTACTCTTCTTACCCTTCCTCTTCCCCCTCCTCATCCTCCTCTTGCACCTCCTTGTCCTCTTCCTCTAACTTCACCTCCTTGTCCTTGTCGTCCTTTCCCTCTCGCTTCTTCACCTCCGCGTCCTCTTCCTCCTCCTCTTCCTCCTACTTCTTCACCTCCGCGTCCTCCTCCTCCTCCTCTTCCACCTACTTCTTCACCTCCGCGTCCTCATCCTCCTCCTCTTCCACCTACTTCTTCACCTCCGCGTCCTCCTCCTCCTCCTCTTCCACCTACTTCTTCACCTCCGCGTCCTCATCCTCCTCCTCTTCCTCCTACTTCTTCACCTCCGCGTCCTCATCCTCCTCCTCTTCCTCCTACTTCTTCACCTCCGCGTCCTCTTCCTCCTCCTCTTCCTCCTACTTCTTCACCTCCGCGTCCTCTTCCTCGGCCTCCTCTAATTCTCACTCTTCTAACTCTTCCTGCTGTCTCCATTGTACTCCACACGGACAGCTTACCTGTGGCTTATTTATAGGCTGATTGCAAAGTGAACTAATTATCTAAAACAGTTTTCACATGTGACAGTGTGCCAGACAGTTGGCAAAATAGTGTAAATAATAGCCATACATGTGTATAGTTTTGCTAGGAGTGTGTTGATCATTTGGAAATTCAGTGTAAAGCAATGAGTTGTGTTTACAGTTCCGCAAAAAGAGTGCTGTGCAGTGGATTGTACCTACAGTTTTGCAAAGTGTGTGTTACAAAATTGCAAACTGAGTGTTAAGTATTAATAGTTAAAAATTAAAATTGTGCTATAAGAATCATGGTTAGGGTTTAAGCATTCAGAAAAAACTAATAGTCTAGTCCCATGCGCCACAGAGCTCGTTAGCAGCTAGCCATAATGCTGTTTGTTACTACACATTAAATGAACGTGAATGTGGAGCAATATAACTTCGAATTTTGCCAGTGTGCCTTTAAAGATCAATATCAATGGTGAATGCTGACAGTTTTTACACATCATAGGAAACATAGACTACTTTTATTGCTTAATATGTGTCCAAGCAGACAACATCCCAACTTACCCATGGCATGGCAATCCCAACTACTGTGGGTCACCCATAATGCACTGCATTTAGTACAAAACAGCCTTCTGCTGTGAATTTCCGTTAACAAAATAAAATACAGCTGAGTAGAAGGACCATGGTTAGTAGTCCTAAATTAGCTAACAGGAATTTAACCATAAACATATGTTAATTATTTGCACTGTTACACTAACACAGGGTGACATGAAGAGACTGTGTCAGGCTGCATAGTGGAGGAAATGCCTATAGTAGAAAATAAAGCAAAGAAAGTCATTTGTAATGGGATTACTTTCCTTATAGCCTTGAATAACCAATATGTCATAACCAATAGACATGATGTTTTTGCTTTGGTTTATTTCAAATAGAGCTTTCATTGACAATGAAAATAATCGTTAGTTGCAGCCCTATTTTGAACAACAGTTTCAGGAAATGATAACCTGTCGAGACCATATGTACATCTAAACACCCATTTCATCATTTCTACATTAGTAATGCATGTAGAGTTATAATAATAATAATGTTTTTATAGAGCACTTATCAAACAAAGTACAAAGTGAGTTTGGCAAAATCTGGAATCAGTTCAGAGTTTTTAGATTAAGGGCCCGTGTCCACCAAAGCGTTTTTTTCTGACGCCAGCGTCTTTTTTCAATTCATTGTAGTGGGAGCGCCGCTTTTTTACAACCTGGTAAAAACGCCAGGTTGACGAGGGACTGAGCGTCTTTTCCGCGCTAAGTTGACTGAGAGTTGAAAAATTTTCAACTTTGGGAAAAACTCACTTTTTATCCAGCCGTCCAATCACAGTGCAGGAGGGGCCGGGCCAACACCACACGAAGCACGTCCGATCTTGAACAAAACGATGTGCCTCCTCGCCGAGATGTTTCCTCGCCCGCAAAATCTCATGAACCCACCTACGGAGAGTCCGTCCTCTCATGTTTCAGCCTTCTCTTCATGCAGAGCAAAGGGCCAGAGCAAGTAGGCCTACCCTACTTTGTGGTGACATTTAGAATTTTTCAAAAATGTCATTGTTCTTCACAACATCAAGGAGCTGCTAGGAAAAAATGTTTTCTACAACCTTGGAGATGAAAGGCAGTTTTGAGATTAGGTCGTAGTGAAGTGTACCTGAAGACCAGATTTCCATGTGTGCTCAGCTTTTCTTTGTTCTAGCTCAGCTTCTAATCAGTCAGCTTTTTCAGTTATCTCTTTAACTCTAGTATTTGTTGTATGTGTTCAGTAGGATTTGAAGATTTACTACCTATGGTTGACTTCCTCAGGTCTGGTCCCTCAAGACTGATGGGCCACTCGGCTGTGGCCTACAAGGACAGTATGCTTCTTTTCGGAGGAGGTGAGAGCCAGAACTTTCCAAAAAACTGCCTGTGGAGGTACAGTATTACCACTCAGACCTGGGGGCAGGTTGCCACACTCCCAGGCTCGAACCCCCCACACAAGATCCACCACTGCTGTATTGGGCTGGGTCCCAGCTACAAGTCAAACACCAGCAGCTCCTTCTCCGGCTCAGGACTCCAACCCAGGCCGCTGGATTGGAAACTAAGGCCCTTCAAAAACAAGTGCTTCCCTGCCCCAGTCACCTTTCTAGGATCAGAGGGGGCTATAGAGCTGGAGACGTTCAGCCTGGACAGGTGCTACGGTAGCAAAACACTCACACAATCATCAGATCTGGACAACAGCAAGGAGGGCTTGATGGGGAAAGATGGACAGCGGATTGGAAACTGTTTGACCTTTGAAAACAAGGCTTTCAGGAAACAGTGCAGCTGCACAGATGAGGACCTGTTCGACGAGGAGGATGGAGATATAGCCCATCATCTGCCTGATCAGCTGCTGGTGCTGGGGGGAAGACCCTGCACCAGACACAGTCCCATCTCTGTATGGCAAATGACTCTGACTGATTCATAACTGCCTGAAGAACAAACCTTTTCTCTATTTGAGAAGTATGTAAAAAAAATAAAAACACATCAGTAATATCACATGTTAAATCTTATTTGTATAAAGGGTTTACTGACATTCTGTGAACAAGAAAATATCTTTTATATTTTTATAATAGTGTTACTTTTGTTGTTGAGTTTTTATGTTGCGTTTATCACATATTACCTTTTTGCAGAAGTGAAATAGATAATTGGAAAATGGCATTAAGAAAAGCAATTATTACAGCCATTAACAATTATCTAAGTTGTAAGTAAGTAAGTGTAACTGTGACAAAATACAGCACACACAAACATAAAAATCAGGATCACATTTGAAGCCCTAGACCTCCTACAGTGTATGCTCCTTTACAATATATCCCCTTATATTAACTATAGTAAATGTCTGTGACATATTTTATCCCCACAAGCTACCAAATCTGGTTAAGACACATTTGCTTTCACTTTCTACAAACTGACAGTATGGAGATGATAACAATGCCTATAATAAAACCTAAATTTCACACGATGGCGCCAGAGCTCAAGGTTCTGTTGTCTTTCTGTCTAAGTTATTGGCCTACTCTAGGAGATATACAGTATGAGGCACAGTGCCACATGGGCTTGTGGAAAGCCAAGTGAAACATGCTTGCCCACCACTAGCAACTAGTCAACTCATACAAAATCTCTTGTTTTCAGATGTTCCACTGAACAGAAATCTGAATTGAACATAGATGGTTGTGATTTCATATCAGCCTTTTACTCTTTCATGAACGGGATAAATTCTCAGTTTTGTAATTCAAAAACGATTCTTACTTTACACCCTTAAGTTACCTTTTATTTCACTTTATGTAAAGAAAAATGCTGGTGACCACTGTAGTTTTCTTTTTACTTAATCCCATCTATCCTGCTGCCAGAGTTACTCACTAGAGCACCGCATGTGCATTAATCCACAACTGAAAATAGTCCCCAACAAATGCACTATTTCCTATGTCCAGCTGTTTTAGGAAAGTTGTTGAGCCTTTAATAAAAATTAAACTAAATATTTGTGACTAGTTTTAAAGATTTCTGTCTTTAGTTGGAACCAACTAAACTGGTGCTCCGGCTTCCTCCCACCATCCAAAGGCTAGGTTAATTGGTGTCTCCAAAAATTGGGTTGTTTGTCCCTGTGATAGACTGGCGACCTGTCCAGGGTGTACCCCGCCTTTTGCCCCAGCTGGGATTGGCTCCAGCCTGTACGCAGTATGGACTAATATTTATGTGAATTGTTCAAATCCAAGACTTGTTTATGGCTACATCCTTCCACCAAATGGAAATATATATATGAAAAATATCGTGTGCATCATTTTAGACATTTCCCCAAAATTCACTAGCTTTTTATTTATTTTAGCTTATTTTCTTATTGACTCCAATGATCAGATGCCATCTGTCCTACTGACCTACATTACTGCTCTATCTATCTATCTATCTATCTATCTATCTATCTATACATCAATACATCAATACATCAATACATCTGTGTAATGAGAGGTTTGTATCGGTAGATGGCGCTGTTTATTTGATGATCAGCATTAAAACCGGCCATGAACACGCATGACTTAACTTTCAACTTTTATTGATTCGTTCACACAGTTTTCTTAAGTCTTTTTATATTCATTTGAAATATTGTGTTTTAGGCCTACACGTAATGTGAAGTCTTCAGTTCATAATTTGAAATGTTTTCATTACCTGAATGTATGATGTGTGCATGGTGTTAAGATGCTGAAAGGATCCTGTAATCGTTTTAATAATTGTCTAAATCAATTTTTTTTTTAAATGGAATAGGCTAGAAGTTTAATTTCTAGGACGAGCCCAGAAATTGTGACCTAAAGTTAATAACAGTGACAGAACCTTTAACAGCCTGGACTGCGCACAGTATCCAAACCAAAGATGTGCTCTCATATCCTGAGATCTCACAGTTGGATTATCATATTATGTTTCTCTATAAGTCCAATAATACTGCCTTTGCAACCTCTCTGGGCAGGCGTGTTACCATAATACAACCCTGTTCCTCAGCGTTCACCAGAGTCGTGGCTGTGGAGACATCTAGTCTAATAATCCCTTGCGTCCAGTTGGTGGAAATCCCCACGTGGTTTCGACTCCTGTATAAAAACTTTGGGTGTGCGGAGCCCCTGTTGTCGTGATTGCAAAGAGAGAAAAGGGTCTTAGTGAGCAGCATCTTGCAGTACGCACGGAGCTGGCCATCTACAGCCGCGCGCACCGGACACGGTACCCAAGCGCATACACAAAAGACGCGGGACACCGAGCGTTGTTGTTCTCTTTGAGACTGCGACAGTAGAAGTGGAGTTTCTGCATGTTGTGTGAATGGGGAAGAGCGGACTGAACACATTTGAAGACCGATTGGGTTTTCTTTTTTGAATTATCGGCAAAGCAGTGTACTCGTTTGTTTTGGTAGACACACACGTCTGAACTGGACGTGGTGTGACAGATCCGCGTCAACAATCAGAACTCCTGAGTGCGCCTCGCAATCACAGAGATGAACTATTTTGTGCAAGACGCATTGCTGGATAACACACTGAATGCATAATGACCGGAGTTATTTAGCCTCACAATTTCAGCAGCACTCTGGTATGTTTGGGAATACAAATATTTCATTGGCTTCTCTGGATATCTTGAGGCGTCTCACTTTTGGAGATCAAGTGGATGTTCTCCCGGAATTTTAAATCTGTAATATAAAATTAGTTTAAACCTCAGTGTGTGTATTTAATATAGGTTATTAACCCTTCTCTTCCATAGCATTTGGAGTGTTATATTAACTTTAGAAAAATGAGCATATACAGTCTGGCTTTGTCCTGTTTAGTTGCGTGCGTTGTCTCCGTGCGCTGCAGCTCGGTGACCGGGACAGAGACTCAGAGCTCTCCCCAGGAGTCGTGCGCGTCCTGCGGCCTCAGGACGCCGGATGAGAGGGTGAACATAGACTTCTTGGAGGCGGTGAAGAGGCACATACTGAACCGGCTGCAGATGAGAGAGAGACCCAACATCACACATCCCATTCCGAAGGCTGCGATGGTGACGGCGCTGAGGAGGCTGCACGCCGGGAAAGTGCGAGAGGACGGCCGGGTGGAGATCCCCAGCTTTGACGGACAGGCTGCATTCAACAACGAAGTTCTAGCAGAGACCTCTGAGATTATCAGCTTCGCCGAATCAGGTAGTAATCAATAATTCATTGCACACATCTAAACCGACCCCTTGATGAACCCATTCACCTTTTGACTTTATGTAATAGGGATCCCAATGAACCAGGTGAGTTAATAACTTAAAATCAGTCTCATTCAAAGATATTTCATTCTGTAAAGCTATCATGTTGTTATGACTAAGCAGCAGAGATGGAAGAAATGAGACAGACACAACAGTTGTTTTTTTTTTAAGCCATAAACTAATTGGATTCAGTGCATTCATCATTTTCATCATCTGATTACATCACAAAGCCTCCTGTTTTAGCTGAAAATCAAAAAGAAATTAAACTAAAGAAAGAGTCCTTAAATTACCCTCATGTGTTGTCTTGGGGATAAAAAGAACCTCTGAATCCAATTTCATCACTAAAGCTGTGCTCACACTCAATACTCCAATGTATAAAGCCCTCTTTTAGATACGGACAAAGTCCCTCAATTGGCCATTTATCCCCTCCTCTAAGAATGTGTATCTAACTAATTCTCAGAAGTCCAAAGAGAACACCCTTTCCTCTCTCTGTCTCTCTGTCTCTCTGTCTCTCTCTTTCACACACGCACACACACCTAAAATCATCTGTGCTTGACAGAATCCAATAATTGTCAGGTAGCACTGTGAGAACCATGTATTTGACACAAACTGTTAGTTTAACAAAAAGAAAACATACAATTAAAGATACCAAAATACACACACACACACACACACACACACACACGTAGGCTACCATCCTGTCCTTTCCCATTGGCCCTGCCGGTACAATTAGCCTGAATGGGCTGTTAGGTCCCGCCTTTCTATGGGAATGATCTGAGCATCCTCATGACAAGGGAACAAAAGCCAGGCAATTATTATAAGAGCACTATGTGTTCCTGCTGAACCCAACATGTCAACGTTAAGCAGAAAAAAAGCAGAGAAAACAAAAGAAATCAGAATAATGCATGAGACATTTGAGTTCATGCGGGGTTGGACTGGGGGAGTGTGGGCGGAGGGGTATGGTGTTGGGGATTGTAGGGGGGGTGATATTGTGTGCATGTGTGTGTTCCCATATTGCAGTGTTGTAAAGAATGTTTTTGTCGTTCTAAAGGTTTGCTGGGCTCCTTTGCTTCTTCTTCTTCTTCTACTTTTGTTTTTTTGGTTAGTTCTATTCTTCCTCACACCTTTGAGCCTTTGTGTGGCATTGTACCATGGAGCTGGCTTGAGTCCCTGCTCCCTAGACCCCGTCTGCCTCCTGGCCAGCTGGCTCACGCCCCCCAGATCTGATGCTGCCAGCCGGGGCATGGCTCAGAGGCAAGGTCTCCAGAAAGCTCTGAAGCCAGGGGAGCTTGTCCCCCAAGCATGAGGGAGCCTGAATTGTTGTTGTCACAGTTTAGGACAAGGCGGGTTGGGGGTTGAGTTGGCATATGTTTAGCCAACAGGGGCCAGCAAATGGATGTGGATAGCTGTTTATGTGCTTTGTGTATGTGTGGAGCATTGAGGTCAGCTTGCATCCTCTGCCTCCCCTCAGCACAGGGTTAACTGCGTGCTTGTCAGCCAGAGAGCCAGCTATTTATCTCCGGTTGCGGTAGTGCAGAGGTAAGAGGTCTGCCAAGTGGCCCCGGGCAGGTGAGAGGGACAATGCCAATCTTCCTTCTCCCATGACACGGTCCTGTGGGTCCTCGCTGAGGGATTCGGTGTCCCGTATTCACGGGAGCGGAGCGGGGAACACAAGCAGGGAAGGAGGGAGGGCGAAAGAGAGAGGGGTCGATGGAGTTTAGATCGCCGCTTCTTGTTTGCTCGCTATAGCCGTTCGGATCCAGTGAACTGGCGGCGAGTGGTCCAAGACACAGAATTAAGACTTCATTATGGGAGGTCATTAACTCCAGCCCGGTTCCTTCAGAGGATCAGGTTGGCAGGTTTACTTCAGGACACAACTCTTTCATGAGGAGCTGTCAGTCATGGCCCTCCTGGACCTCATCCAAACATTTTCCACATTCACTCACAAGTGTGTGTTTCAGCCCTCATTGGGCCTGGCTGCCTCTCTAAAGCTTGTGATCCTATAAATGATTTATGCAACGTTATTAAAAATGCCCCTGTAGTAAAGCTTTAGCAACAACAGAGTCAGTGCCGCAGCAGCTTTAACCTATGGCCAAAAGCCCAGAGACTTAACCCTACCCCTCCATCCGTTACACCCCCCTCCTCACCTACTCACTCTATGCAGAATTCCTGGAGTGCTGAGACTTCGGCCCTAAGGATGGCTGCTATATGCACGCACGCCTCTGCTCTTGTTAGAGCCACGAATGCACCATGCCACGCCCTTGTCCTTCCGCG